GAGGATGAAGAATTCAATGGATTTAGTGATTTGGAGTGAGATGGAGAGTTTGGTAAACTTGTTCTGTTCTGTTGTTTATGCTATACTAATCTGAAGAAATGCATTTGTTAACAGTCTGTTGTTCTCGGTTGTATTGTAGAAGATGAAATGTCGGTTCCTGGTCTCTGATTTTATAAAATTAATTTACTCCAAAAAGTGCCACTTATAGTCCGGTGCAACTTAAATATGTTTTTTTGTTCTTCATTACACATTTTTTGGCTGGTGCGACTTATACTCCAGAGCAATTTATAGTCCGAAAAATACTGTACTTTATTCACAATAAATGAATGGTGAACATCCTCAGACGACTTTTTGAATTATTTTGCAAAATGCTGACAAAAACATGAGCTAATTTGCAGTAACATAAAATATAAATGTACAGTAATATGAATACAAAACAGCTGATAGAGAAACTGCTCTACTGCACCAAGGACATCTGTAGCTCAGGCCTATGCAATCAGAGGCTATAATACTCCCTACAGTGGAAGTATATGAATGAATACTGCCACCGTACTGTATGTTGACCATTCACGTCTCTGAGTTCAGTACTGATGGTCAGTAAACTTGCCTCTCTTTACAATTCTGAAGTTACTTAAGTTATTCTGCAACATCAACTATGAAAGGCCCGTATTATATCCAAACACACGGAAAAATTATATCTTATACCAGTCCAACCTGACATCCATATTCGCATATAACTCTTAAATATATGTTTACACTGACTATGGAAACAAGCCTGACACCTCTGCACTCAGTCACAGTGCGTTTCTCCCTTTAGACTGACTTACATAATAATTATAGTCTCTACACCGGGAAAACATAACCTCACTGTATTACACAAATACTCCTCTACATCTCCCCTCCTCCTTTCCCTCTTCTCTCAAATGTTACTCAACCAAAATAGAATAAACGTGTCTTTCTAGCTAAATTTTGAACTCCGCCCCAGGGCTGCTCCTCTGTGTTCTCTCACTGTGGCAGGCGCTTTTTCCTTAAAACGCTTTTGTGAGTCTCACAGCTTTGGTAATTACGAGAAGAAGGCAGATTCATGCTGTGTGATGTTTAGACAAGACAGCGTGTGAGTTGATGTAAGGTTTCCAGAGAGCGGGGGATAGATTTTGACTGGTGAGTGGGTGCAAAGCTGTCATATTTTCAAAGAGGAGTTGTACGTCTCCGCCCCACCATCTCCGCTACAAGTCCCCAACCGGAGAAGAGCCGAGGAAAGCCATATAAAAGCGTGGGATTCTGAGTACGTTCTAGCAAACCAAAACCACTCAATTATTCCTTGTATTCCAGGAGAGCTTTGAAATCATCTAATGGAAATACAATGTATTGCGATGGGAAAGCTGCAGGGACACTAGTGGTAGAAATAGAACATACTGGAAAAAAGGAGGTTTCTATCACAGTTAATCATCCTCCCAAATGTATGTTTGGCATCAAAGGAAGTATTTTATTTGGTTTTCTCTGCAGATTTGTAGAGTTTTACTGTTTACTGTTCAATATACATTTTAACCTGGCATATTTTCATTCTCTGTTTATGTTAACGCTGTTAAATATTGTCCATATAAATACAAATCTTCTTAAAGGTCCTGTGCTTTTACTTTATTTTTACCATACACATCAAAAACATGCTTGAAGAGGGTTTAGATGTCATCCATGAATGTTTGAGTCATTTTGTGATCTCTCCAGAGCCCTATTTAAACCCTCCCTAAAATTTGCTGTAAGATTCTGTGCAATGCTCCGCCCACAAGCCCACACTCTCCTGCACAACAATTCTTCGTAAATTTCCAAAAACATGATATAAAACTGCACATGGCAACTTGACAAACCTGATGCAATGTGCAGTAGTTTCAGCAGGATGCACACTGACTGTGATGTCATAGTGCTCTGAAGGGGGAGTGACTTAATACAGGGAGCAAAGGGACGGGAGACTCAAAGCATCAAAAATGAAAGTGAAACTTGTAACAACAGCGGAGTTGTGCTAAAGCTACCAACAACTAACATGATGCTGTGTACTTCCTGATTATCGGACACTAACGGCGCACTCACACTTGGACTTTTGAACTGTGCTGTGTTCAAGCATGATTACGTAGGGTTTTATGGCCTGCACTTACACTTGCACTTGTACAACCAAACCAGACCACGGCCCAATGACCTCATCATACAGCACTGTTTGTTTACATGACGTGCAGCAGAGCCAATGCTTTTAATGGAGAAAATAAGTTCAGCGGCATGAAATATCTATTAAATACTGAGACAGATATGAGTCCAGCTGCAATACGTGCTCCTCCATGAGTTTATGGTTATAATAACAGCACAGAGCAGTGAGGACAGTCGGAGACGAGGCTGCAAAACCTCTGTTGCTGTCCACAGTCCTCACTGAAGGTAAGTATGAATTCGCCGTATGTTTCGGAGTGGAGTTTATTCATTGTTTTCCTTGTATGAGTAAGATTAACACACCTGACAGGACTTGCATAGTGATGTTGTACGTGTGTGTGTACATGGGCAACCGTGCGGTGCTTTGGTCCACCTCCTCCAACCGGACCAAAGTCCCAACCATGCCATGCCATGCCATGTCTGGGCATGGTTCGATTGCACTCACACTGGACAAACGTACCATGCTTTAGGAGCTATCTGTGTTTTGGCACAGTTCTAAAGTCCTAGTGCGACTGCACCCATACATTGATTTTTACTTTGATACAAACAACAAGCAGCAAACTTATTTTGACCTAAAGACCTGCTTATACAATACTAGTATATCTGGGGCATGACAAATATTTGCACCAACACATGGGCAAAAAAATAATAATAATAAAATAGGTACAGGCCCTTTAAATACGTCATTCTTCACTCTTCTGCCCAAAAGTGCCTTCACCCTCCCCTACCACCCTCACCCCAGTCTCCATGTCAACACACACACATTATTTGCATACACAGGAAGCAGCATCGTCTTAATTAAACAGCACCCCCCAGGACAGGAGCTCAGATACAATTTGTAACGATTCCCCTGACCACCACTTTGATTATACAGAGCTCCTTATGCTGACCACAGACTTCTGACCGCACTTAATCTTCCATTGAAACCCATTAGGACCCCCACCAGCCCTGATCATGCACCACTCTGCTCCTCTGACTCCATTTCTGCACACCTAGGTTTTCTCTAAATAAAGAAGAATGAGGAGCACTATAGGCCACTAGACAAAAAGTTTAAACGTGTAACTTTATGTATACAAAAGCCATGCATTCTTCTACTACTAAAGGTGCATTGTGTAACTTTTCTGGTAGACTGTCATGCTTTTCTCCATGGACATGTTATTGCTGTGTTTGGAATGTTTCACAGTATAACAATAAATCTTTTTATCACAATGGAGACCAAGTTACAGGTCAGATCTGTGGAGAGGCAACCCCGCACAGTCAGAATTCCTGTTTTTCTAGGTATTTTTGGGCAATGAAACCATCTGTAATTGAATAAATGCAAGGTAGATCTGTTTCCTGTCATACTGTGGAGCATTCCAGGCAGAGACGGAAACAGACCCACTACCAAAAGGTTACGCAGTGCACCTTTAATGGGAGCCAATGCATTAACTAGGAAGGTAAAACAGTCAATATACAAAAAACAGTTAAAACTTAATAGAAAAGCCAGCCAAATCCAACTCTTTTACTATTGTATGCAGAGAAATTAGTCTGCGTTATTGTTTCAACCACTCCAAGTTCTAATTGGTAGGATTGACAGTGGGGATTCACCGAGCCGATAATGGTATCAGGTATCGGCGCTGATATTGACCCCATTTGTTGGATTGAATATCGGCTTCCAAATATTGATTCAGCTGATATCCTGGTTGGACATTCATGTAAATTCACGTAATAAGACATTTACTGGTCGTAGTTGGACCAGAAAGTCTCATACAGTTTGAACTTTTATTTATACAAATGATTATTTCTGTAGTTACTTGAGAGATAAATAACAGCTACACGACACATTTGGATCACTTAAGTCTTATTTTTTTGGTTCAAGGAAATAAATATTTTCAGCCTCTGCACTGGTATGAACTGGCAGATAATTGGAATTGGTATCGTGAAAATGCTGGATTGACAGGTGGATTAACCAATCAGAGTAGGGCCCGGTGGTGCTGCAGATAAGCTTGTGGGAATACTGGTTTATTGTGCGCTCAAGATCATTCATTTCAGATAGAAAATAGGCTCACAACTCAGTGGAATTTTCAATATTTCAAAGGCCATTTTAAAAAATACATTAGCTGAAAAATATGAATGAAGCAGTTGAAGGTTATTCACTTTCAAAAATACTTGTATGTACTTCTTTTTTCTGCACATTGTCTATCACAGTGACCATAGTATGAAACACAATAACAAAGCAAAAAATGTAAACTGTAGATAGATTTTCACTTTCATTTCAAAAGATGATTTAATAAATTGGAATTTTGTTGCATGAAGTGACTAATAACACCTCAAAAAATGGAAAGTCCTTAATTAAAAATGTGAATCTGCAAATGGCCTTTTACTCAATGCCAAATGAAGCGCTCAGGTGCGCTAGCCCAATTTTTCGAAATCAATTACCACTTCCACATTTGTTGAGAAGACTATTTCACTTCACTGACAGAATTTTTACTCTGTAGCCTTTGTGGAGCTATTGTTAAGCCAGCCCCAGTAACCAACATTTTCTTTCAAACCACACAATAAATTATTTAACATGTTCCAAGATCTTTTAGCCTGAGGAAAGTTATTCTCCTTAACTTTAACTTATAATTGCACACTACGTTCACACCAGCCCCACTGCCAACTACATTATTCACATCCCGCTACTGCAAAGTTAGGCAGGCACAGAGCTGAGGGGTAGAGATAGGACTTTCTTATTCCAGCTAAACCCCACTTAGCCTGCTCGCGCTGTAACATTTAGCGGGGTTGGGTGTAGTTAGCATACATTAGCGGTATTCTGGTGTACTTACATTGACAGACTCGCGGCCGGCGTACTTGACTCGGATTCTCGGTTCTTGGATGATGTCCAGATTGGTTCCGGTTACCATGAGCGGGGTGTGGCCACTGGACAAAATGCAAAAAGACAAAAAATGTTCAGTACTTTCATGCACATATACTTGTTATCTATTGTCAAATATACAATATATCGGAACATGTGTACTGACTGATCAAGCAAAACACTGACACCTACCTACAACAATGACAATGTTTAAGTGAATGATTTGTATATGTGTATAAACAGTGTAAACAATGGTGTAAAAACTCTTCAGATTTATAGTATTGGGGAACAATGCATAAGGAAATATCTCATGTCTACCGTATTTTTCAGACTATAAGGCGCAATATCAATAATGTTGAATTCTCGTCTATTTTCATACATAAGGTGCACCGGATTATAAGGCACATTAAGCGAAACAAACGGACGACACTTGAGACTGATCCCTTAGTCCAGGCATCATGTTCACTTGGCAGATTGTGGCGTAAATCACCCGGACTTGCCTCCATGTCTTGGTGAATGTGAATTATGAATGTGAATGTGGGTGGATAATTTAAGTTTGTTTTTTTATTTCTTACGAGGAGGACTCAAATACACATTGAGTAATAATGTGTTTAATGCAGCTTTGCACACATTTGTTTACATTTTACAGAAACAAAACTTAAAACCACATGCCTAATTTGCATAAACTATAAGCACTGAAAAAACTGCTCGCTTTTTGAGATTTTAAGCACTGTGTACCACATGAAATCAGTTCGAGGTCAGTAAGCACAACCAGATTTAATACATAAGGCACACTGGATTATAAAGGACATTGTCAATTTTTGAGAAAATTAATTCAAAGGATTTTAAATGCACCTTATTGTCTGAAAAATATGGTATTTTGCTTGGAATGAGAGTAGGTCCAGTAACATATTCATCTACTGTACATGGCCAATATGCTTATATTGTATGATTGAAATGATAGATTTTTTTTGTTTTATATTTTTTATGTATCAGTTTTTTGGAATAATAAATGAAAATCAGCCATTGACAATAACCTGGTTAATCAACATGCACCATCTCAAATCAAAAGAAACTAGAAAAGCACTCAGAGAGCGCAGACCTCCGCCAAGGACTACCCCCATTTTTTTATAAATTGCGATAAAATCAGTCTTCTGGATCAGATCCGGATCAGCCTTTGGAATATGAAAGAGGATCCCATTGTCCATCCCTGAGTCAAATTTCATGGGGTTTGGTCAATAATTAACCGAGATATTGAGAAACAAAATTTTTGGCCCCATTTACCACAATGTTAACTGAAATTTCAAAGTGATCCAGAATCCAGGATTTCTTCCGGATCACCCCCAAAATGAATTCAGTTCTTCCTTTTCACATTTCCAACAAATCCTGAAAATTTCATCAAAATCGGTCCATAACTTTTTGAGTTATGTTGCTAAAAGACACACAAACAAACAAACAGACAAAAACATAACCTCCTTGGCGGAGGTAATAAAAGTGCACGCTGCAAACTGGTGGGTGTCCATTACCTGCTTTTATCCATCCATGTAATTGCTTATTCACATTTAGCATATGTTATAATTTTTAAAGGCATTTTTGAGCAAAAAAAGCAACTGAAATTGAATTCATGTGAAGTTAAGGGGATGTCCTACCAAAACAGTTAGATTAAGACTGAAAGCAAACACGTTTCTAGACCACATACTTAAAACACAGCTCAGTATGAATGAGAAAAATAAAAAAAAGATAAAATCACTGCCATACTTGAAAATGCAGATCAATAATGTAAAGATACCTGCCTAGTATATTTGACCTATCAGTGGTCACAACAAAACTAGGGCTAATCAGAGCATTATCTAGTCCACAAGCCTCCACCCACCAGTGCTATTGTCTGCACACTGTTACAGCAACACACATCTGCAGCCCTGGTCCTCAGTGCAGACAAAGCAGAGTGAATCAGCTGGATGCTAGCTTCCCCTGCAGCTGTTCAGGCTCGTGTTGTTGTTTGTTCCCTTTATTGTAGCGACTGTCAATTTGGTGCTGTGAATGAAAAATGCTCTGCTAGAATCGCTGCCACAGAAAATGTCAGATGAGGCTGTGGGTGCTGTGCGGTGTGGAATTTGCAGAAAAGAATATAGAGGCTAGGACAAGTGACTAAATACCTCAGTGTATTCTTGTAACACAAAGGTTAAGATAAGAAGTAGCATCTCTCAACATTTCTTAGTACCCTGGCATTAAGTAGTCTACAATAATGTTTTTCTATATGATACAGTATATGCTATACAATAGAATGAAAGTATGTCTTAAAGGGCTTATATTATGCTGTTTTCTAATTTGTGTTATAATGTTGTTTCTTCATCACAAACATACCTGGAGTTGTGTTATGTTTCCTCCACATGTTTAACACACAAATATTGCAAATACAGGCTGAGAAAACACTCTGTACCACCTTGTGATGTCATGTCATGTGCACAGGGAGGGCTGCACTGTGTTTTTAAACTCCATACACCTTCACTAGAAACATTTGGATAATTTCAGCCCAGGTTTTGCCATTTTCTGTGATACAAAAGGAAAATGGTTACTGCTGAACTTGAAAATTACCACTACATGACATCACAAGGTGGAAAAGAGCATTTTGGGCTTTGGAGACAGACTAAAAACAAAGGATTACTAGAACATGCATGAATGAAACAAAAATCAACTCCAGGTACGTTTTTGAGGTGGTAACAACATTGTAACAGCTTAAAGCTCTCAAAAATTAAGTTTGTGTAATATACGACCTTTAAAGGCTCTAACCAATCTTTGTCCATGTAGTTGAGCCCCAGTATAGATAGACTGTAAAAGTTCTTGGAATCATACATCACACACCAGCCTCATTTTGACACTAATTCCAAACTATTTTATTGCCTGAGAACCAGGGAGTAAGCCTGGTGCACTAGAATGCTGGTTGTTAGTTGTGGTGTGATGGCAGAAGTAAGTAGGATGTTTTTCAAAACTGTTTACAGCACTTTTAAAGAAATATCCCATGTCTATTTTGCTTGGAATGGAAGTAGGTCAAGTAGCATTTTCATCATTGTTTCCCAAAGACTGGGTTGCGACCCTCAGGTGGGTCGCAAGAGATTTTTTTGGGGGGGTCGTCTTGTCGCGATCTGCATGTAGATCTGCAATATACATTTCTGACACATGTTGAAATGTTAAGACATATTTGAATAATTTCTAATCTTTCTTGTAATTATTTTATTGACTATTTTGTTCCAGTATTGCTGGTTCAATTGAATGTTGAAAAGAAAAAGAAATGTCCAAATAGGTGATGATTTTTCATTGTTTAAAACTTGAGTAATACAAATTGTTCAGAGAGACACAATCACCAGTCACCAATAAAATATCCTCATTATTTTTCAGTAATGCTCAAATTCACCTGTATTTTGTGATTTATGAATATTTTCTACTGACTTGGGTCGCAAAGTTTGTGACTTTAAAAATATGGGTCCCCAGAGAAAGGGTTTGGGAAACACTGATACACACGACTAATATACTAAGGGCATTTTGAAATGGAATGGAATGAAAGTACATAAATACAATCTTCAAATGTAGTACACTAAACATGACTCTTAATGAGAGCAAAAGTCTGCTCCCCAAAGACAAATGTTCCATATCTTATACCCAAAAAAAACAACATTTACATTATCTGTGTTTGATTTTACAGTGACAAATCTACCTTAGTCCAATCTGAATCTTCTTGTAGTAAATCTGGTTAGAAATTAGCGCTGATTAAATGAGGAAATGACATGAAATTATCGCTCAGGCCAATTCATTCTTTCCAGTCTGCATGTGTGGCACTTCTATCAGATCCAGACTAATTAGGACAGTAATTGAAAGCGCAGTATTGACCCAGTGTTAGACAGAAGAGGCAGTAACAGTAGGACAGGGTTAGACGAATGCATTGTGTTACCTGGCGATGCTCCAGTCCGGCTCTATGCGCTGCACCGTGGGGTCATCGATGTACTCAAAGGTCAGGCTCTCTCTGATCTGAGCCCGGTCCACGCTGACGCTGATCTGAACAGGACCCACGCCGGACAGAGAGGGGGCGCTGTAGCACACGATCTCTGTCATGGTGCGGCTGGAAAAGAAAAACGAAAGCAAAGTTTTACACTGTAATTTTACATAGACAAAAATCACAGCAATTTGGAATGTAATCAACGTCAGAAGGATCATTTTACAAGAAGTGAAGAAGAAGTGTTTTGAGTTTTATTCAAGTTAGCATATAAATAAAAAGTATTCACTAAGCTCTGAGGCTCAAACATGAAAACCAGTTTGAGTCACTGGGCTGGATTTTGTGGTGTTATTAAAATGCTGTTTTTGACAACTGAAGGACTTTGAAAAGAAGAAGAAAAAGTTTAAAATCTGAAAATAGCAAGTTACTGGCACAAAATCCAACCTTTTTCAAAGCTGTAGATGCCGAACACATAAATTGCCTTTTGAGCTGCAGAGGATTTTTTGATGCAGTACCAGCGGACCGGGCTCTAGCAACAGGTTTATGCTTGCAACACCCTCTCTAGATTTGAATAGATTTTGTATTTCTCATCTTGTTGATCTACAATTAAAATATTTATATACAAAATATGAATATTGTAGAACTAAAACTTAACCCTTTACAGAGGTGTAAATTAAAATATTATGCAAAAAGTGACTAGTGTGAGCTTTAGACTCGAGCCCTGCACTTCTCCGGGCCTCCTGACGCAAAACAGTGCAGCACGAGCACATTTTGAAAGCTCATTGCGGGCGTGGGTGGGTGGGACGATAAACTGCAGTCCCGCAAACTAAATATGAGTGTAAAGTAAAATATACAAATCACTCATGGAAGCCTATCATACATTGTTTGTGCTGGATATTTTATTTAGCATTAATAGAAAGGTTTTAAGCAGCCTCAACTTGCGGATGTGGTCTAATCTCACGCACATTTTAGACAATTCCTTTCCGCTTCTCCGTGTTTGATAGAGCTTAAGAAAGCGAATGTCCACATCTTACGGGATTTGCGGGCGGGAGCAGGACAAAATATCGCAGATGCGGGCGGGAGAGGGACTGAAAATTACAATTATTTGTGGGCAGGAGCGGGACTGCACAAGTTTTCAGCTTGTCCAAGAAAGGGTGGAAGTAAAAAGGCTGAAGACCAACTGGACGTCTTACGCAGGAGAAGTTCATTTACCATCAATAATACGGGCCAGGGGGGCTGGAAAAATCAACATAGTATGATTTCAAAAGTGAATACAGTGTGATCTTTGAGTGTTCAAGCCCCTTTCACTATGCTTCCAGAGGAGGAGGTTTATAAAGCAAGTGGTGAGACTATGAAAGCCGGTAGGCATTGTTTAGACAGCAATATGTCACAATTTAGATATTGGTATGCCAATGGTCTGTCAAGGGAAGATCATGGTGTAAATATAGCTTTTGTGTGTCAATGTTAAACTGAAGTTCTCTTACAGGTGGGAGTGGGACTGACAATTCTGTTGTCAGACCCATGTTGGAATGTTGTTACCTTGTAAAAAACATACCTGGAGTTGTCAGATGAAGAACAGAGATAGAGCGCTTCACTGGGTCATAAAATAATTAAAAAAGAGCAGTACAGGTGCTCTACGAGGGTTAAACTAGTAGTCTTAAACAGAAAGTAGCCCTTACTGGAAAATGTAAAAGTGGGCAAGTGACAAACCTGAGGCCCTCTGACTGAATATATTAAAAGTCCTTTATTGCTTGAAGGGACACCAACGCATTTCGACCAGTAAGATGGTCTTCGTCAGGGCAAAATTACCTGGAGTTGTGTTTTGTTTCATTTCACCCTTCATTTTTATTTTGTCTACATCTCCAAATCACAAAATGCTCCGTTCTACCTTGTGATGTTAGGAAGCGGTAGTTTTCAAGTTGATCATTCTAGTGAAGATGTACACGGTGTTATAACTTTGAGAGAAGAACTCAGCCTAAATCTGCAGGGTTTTGTGTGCTAAATTTGTGTGAATGAAACAAAACACAACTCCAGGTCTGTTTGGGATGAGGAAACATTATAACATAGATCAGAAAATAGCGTAATACGGGCTCTTTAAGTATCTGTAAAGTAAAACGAAACGAACATTACGACGTACTCCCGTGCCTTTACTGTAACATGACCTTCTTCTGTATTTAGCCCTATCAATTATCTGCCCCCCCTCCCTCCTTCCTCCCCCATACCCTTCCTTATCCCCTTTGTATCCACTATCATCACTATCATTACAGACCGCGGTAATTAGCCCCATCCCTCATTAAAAACGCCATGACTCCTTCACCTTACAACATACGGTGACACGACCTAAAATAAGACTCCTATGACAAGGACGAAAGAGAGAAGAAGGAGGAAGCATCGAGCCAATAAGAACAAAGGGAGAAAAAAAAAAAGATTGCAGGAAATCTATAGGCGACGCTATTATTAAAGTTTTTCCTCTGGGTTTGATGCAGTAGGTCATCAAAAGCCTATTAGAATTTACACAAGTTTTCTGACAGAGGGAGGTGGAAGTCTACGCCTAAGGGACCGAAAGCGAATATCAAGAGAAAAGATGAAAAACACAGCGGCGCGTTTTAAATGGTATAATCCGAATCGTCAGGGGAGTAAAGCTCTGGCGTTTGTCTTGTTTTCGCTCACAGCACGCCACTTTCCTGAGATTTCCTGACGCTGATGTATGTAGCGGGCTCGGAAAAGCAAAGTTAGGGTGTGATCCTGTCGGTTTAAATGAAGCGTTGGATATTTAACAACAGGGGAATGCAAATGAAGAGAAAATACCTATTGGAACATGGTGAGGTTCAAATGGAGTTATGGGTGTTTTAATGTGTGTTAATAAATACAACCTTATTCAATTACAAGTAGTTTTATAGCTCAAAAATATGTAAAAACTCCACAAGTAGAGCATGGAAATCCAACCCAAGTCCGACGGGATGGGATTTGGACAAATATTTAAAACTTATGTTCAAACTCAGGTCAGATTCGGACACATCAGATCACCAGCTGTTTCCTGTCTACAGTAAAACCACTCGCTTTGAGACTCTGAAGTGTTCAAAAGATCAGAGCACTGCACTTGCTAGTTTAGATACAAGTCAAAACCGTGTTATTATTATTTTTGAAAAGTGGTGCAATACTTCAGATACATGATTTTAAAAGCATAAAAGATTGGAGATAAAATACACAGGAAGTAAAGTCACTATCACGAATCTGCAGCTTCACCTCGATCTGCGCGCTGTGTGGATGTAAACAAACACACGTGAACTATTTTCACCTTTTTACTTTTACTAAGAACACTTCAAACTGGATTCACAGCGCGGTTTTGGGGACTGGGGTCATTATGGATGAAATGCTCCACTTTAAATTTCATCTTTACGAGGTGAGTAATAAAGTCTTTTCATTTTTTAATAAAGTCATTTCATTTTTTCATTATTTTCGCTATATCCTGAGTTTGTATTTTGCGTTTCTGTGTCCTTTAGAGGCCACCCAAACGATACCCTACATGTGTCATTAATAGGCCTATGAAAATCGTGTGATTTTAATTGTGCTGGATTCAGACACAAATATCTAAATGCCTGTCGGGCTCGAGTTAGAGTTGATTACTGCTCTGTCAGACATGGACTGGGCTTGGACAGAAAAATTCAGCCCGATCCACACTCTACTCCACAGATCTGATTTGTAACTTGTCTTGTTCGGTCTCCATGAAGGTAGAAAGGCAGAAAAGTTTAATACCATACTGTGAAACAATTCAGACAAAGAAATAACATATGCATGAAGTAAAGCATTTGAGGGACCCTCTACCAGAAAGGTTACACCTTTAATTTAGGAGAACTGTTAATTCAAACTAATGTTAGAAGAACATAATTATTGTAGTGGTTCAAAAAATTCCTTATCTTAAGATTTGGGGCAAGTACTCAAATAAGAGTAACTGTCAGGCTGTATTATCTGATTTATAATTTGAAGTAAATACAACTGGCATGTGAAATAATGCAAACTTTTGTCATTTCAAAGGACAGATGAAAAGAATTTAACTAAACTAAATCATATGTGAAGTAGTGGTAAAAGAACGCAACTGGTTCATGTTTAATATTGTTATCATGAAGCTTTTGTCACTTGTAGACTTGCTCACAACAGGAACCACTTTGACGAGTAACAGTACTGTTACTTCAATATCAATTTTACTCAAGCTGGAGTAAGTTTTGCGTATAAAAACACTTGTAGAGGTACAACTTTATACTAAGACCAGGCCTAAATAAGTTAAACTATTTACAATCTTTATAGCAACATGGAATCTACCTGGACGATTCAGGAATTACAGAGACATATTTGCAGTTTTGGAGTCACTATCTGTATTGTGAAGTCTATGTTATACAAAATAAGAGATGGTAAAAGTTTCTCACTCGAAGAACTCGCAGGTCTGGTTCCCAAAGCGCACGGTGACACTGCTGCCAGCCCCCAGGTGCTCTCCCAGGATAGTTACTTTGGTCCCTCCAGACTCAGGCCCTCTGCTCGGGGACAGGCCGGTCACTGTGGGGGTCTGAAAACACATACACAGAACATATTAACTATATTAGATAACAACTCAATAGAACCAGATGCCCTTCCTGTTGCAATTAACTCTAGCTATGACTGGAGTGTCGAAAGTATGGGGTTCTGACATGGTTCATATCATCATCATCTAGCTGGCTGGTTAGGTGAATGCTTGATCCACCGCACCATTGTTTCTTAAATCCTTGCTCTAAAGTAAAAGTAATGTCTTAGATTATTGAAAAGTGCACTAACTTTTGAAATTGTTATTATTATTGTTTTATTTGTATATTAAATGTTACTTACATGTTACATCATTCCATTATACTCACTTCAATGTATTTGTACTTGCCCTTCAGTAACAAACCTAAGCTGGGGTACCTGCTGAGACCACATACTTGCATTCCTTTAAAGTCTGTTACATAAAAAAGTAGTGAATAGCTTCTGGTTGAATCCACTTAAACCCAGTTACTGCGGCTGTCAGCTGAAGACAGTGAAAAGTAGAAAAGAGGATCAAACCAGCAGCGCTCTCAGTCCCTGTGAGACTCTTGTGTCTCTAAGTGTCTGTGTCTGAGAGAGGCTTTTTACACACACTCTGAACACGTCTTCATGTTTACAGCTCGTACGCACATGCACAGAAATATTGCACTGACACTGTACAGACACAGTACAACTACTTAAACTGCACTTTGACTTGTGTTACAAGGTCCAGTGGGTTTCTTCGCTTTTAGTCTTACTTTAAAGGGACAGTCCAGAATTTTGGACGTAGGACCTAATTTCCTAGTGAGCCAGAGTCTTGGAGATGTGTGGAGACACTTTTTGAAATATTCCATCCAGTCTTTGTATTTGCAGAGGTCATTGGTGCTAGGCTAGTGCATGACAATGGCCATCTATTATTACTCCAGACTATCAATGTAAATGTTTGTGTTGATAGAATAATTTCAGAAGTAAAACCAACCTTGCATTTGAAAGATTTATGTCTGAGCAGCAGCAGTGAGCTTGGCAGCGGTGGACTGATATCACCTAGCATCTACCTTACCGCCAAAGTAAAATTCCACTGCTGCTGAGAAAATAATCCCTCAACATGCGCCGATTTATTTCAAACATTATTCTATCAACACAGACATTCACACAGTCAGTTCAGCGTAATAACAGATTTGCTTCGGGTGTTTTGTGGAGTGGGTAAGACTGTTTTTAGTGGCAGGCTAACTATGGCCATTCACATGCACTAGCCTAGCACCAGCGACCTCTGCAAATACAAGGACTGGATGGAATATTTAAAAAAGTGTCTCCACACATCTCCAACACAGTGGCTCACTAAGAATGTCCAAAATTCCTGACTGCCCCTTTAAGGAATCCATATGGACATTGTCTGTGGCTACCACCCTGCATACTTATTTGTGTTTTTCGTGTTACAGGGGCCATTTTTAGGACTTTTGACTTTCCTGAAGATACACTTTTTTGTGTTGAATTTTTGGTTGCTCTTTTTCATGAAATTAATCCCATATGTGTAACAATGTACCTGTTCTTAATGTGCATTGTTTGGTTAGAAAGGAAACAGACATTCTTAAGCTACATCAGCTATATATTTTGAGCTGCTATTTTATAGTAAACAAATTCAATACATGTGTTTATCCCCAAGGAGCAATTTATCCACATAGAACAGTTAAAATACAAGAATAAAAGGATATCTCAAACAAAGGACTACTATATATAACAGAAGGGCTGGCCAGGAAAGACCAGTAGATTCTGTGTCAAGGCAGTTTGAGGAGAGTAACCACCCTCAGGACAAAAGTATTGCTCGTCTGTGACCTGCAGCCTCAAATCCGATCTGAATAGCACATTTTAGAAACAAGAAAGTTTCCAAGGTGTTGCACATAATAACAGTATTAAACTTACAAAAAGCCTATGTTAGGTCATAAAAACTTTTGTAAGCTAATATAAAAGGCTGGGAAACCTCATTGTGTGACATTTAGTGAAGCATTCTCTCTTACAAAGTTCAGTAAAATGAAGAAATCTCCAAAACTGCATCTCACGTCTAACAATGAGACACAGACTGGAGGATGCAGGTTGGAACAGGTACTCATAAGAAGTGTAAATAGCGAGGCTGTTAATTGTGTAGGAAGCATTAGTGAAGGTGTGGACGGTGTGAACAGAGGAGAAGTTGTCTGTGAGGATCGAGCCTGGAGCAGAGCCAACCACGAACGCAAGGAATGAAGGCAACCGCTGTTTTAAAAGCTGCATACAGATGGTTTTAAATGGACTTTTCTATTAGGGGCTAGTTTATTGCTATGCCAAGTACATACTCAAGGTTGGATCTTATACCAACTTAAAATCCAATATATTATAACAAAGAAGTTTAAAGTGGTACTCAGCAGGGCCCATACTCTAACCTTTGAATTCCGCAAGAAAATAGAGCGACTGGTTATACTCTGTTCAGTTGTTAATGCTGTTTTTGTGTTTATTGAAAATGTTGTTGGGAGATTTGTGAATTTGCATTTTAAAATTTGTAATTAAATGAAAGTCTATATTTAGAAATCTAATTTGCTCAAGTGAAGGTAATGTTATTCCAGCAGCTGCCAATTATTGTTAGTATTACTGACCACTTTTTGAAAACACCATGAAATTACAAAAAAGGTTACACTTTTTATGCAAATTTATTTCAATTTCACAATTTAATGATTTATTGTGATTATTTAAGATACAAATGAGCTAGCAATTAAAATTTTAGTCAACTAGTTCAACATTTAGGCTTTGATTCACTATGTTTGCACACGTCACATCAAAAGCAGGACTAAACCTGGAACCAAATATGGACTAGACGAGGACTTAACCAGGACTAAAGCAAGTCTAAGCCAGTTCTAAACCAGGACTAAACCAGGACTGAAATGGAACTAAACCAGGTCTAAACCAGGGATAAGCACACATACCTTATCAAAAGTGGGACTAAACCTGGAACTAAATATGAACTAGATCACGACTTAACCAGGACCTAACCAGGACTAAACTAAGATGAAACCATGTCTAAACCAGGTCTAAACCAGGTCTAAACCAAGACTAAACACATACACCTCATCAGAACGGGGACTAAACCTGAAACTAAAAATGAATTAGACCAGGACTAAGACACAACTAAACCAAGTCAAAGCAAGTCTAAAGCAGGTCTAAAGCAGGTCTAAACCAGGACTAAACACATAAACCTCATCGGAACTGGGATTAAACCTGGAACTAAACCAGGTCTAGACCAGGACTAAACCAGCACTAAACCAGGACTAAACACACACACATTATCAAAACTGGGACTAAACCTGGAACTAAATATGGACTACACCAGGATTAAATCAGAACTAAACAAGGTCTAAATCAGGGCCAAACCATGTCTAAACCAGGACTACATCAGGAATAAACCAGAACTAAACGAGGTCTAAACCAGAGCTAAACCAGAAGTAAACCAAGGCTGAAAAAAAACCAAACCAGGTCTGCATCAGGACTAAACTGGGCTCAAACCAGGACACGGCCAAGATACTGTATCTCTGATGTTTTTAGAAAGCTATAGATGAAAAATCCTGTCTGGTATATTCGTGAGCTGACGCTTTTTATGAAGACCTTTCCTCATTCAGCAGATATAATACTATGGTTTGAATGCCTTATTTTTGCTACGCTGACGTGGGACTGTTGCCATAGCGTTAAACCTGTGAATGGGATTTTCTCACGTTATACTTTATGAAGTTCATATCACATTCACCTTATGTTCTGACCTATTCCTTATAATACACCACTGAAAACATGTGTGTGCTGAAATGAATATGAAGCTAGAAGATATAAAACCACACTAAATTCAACCAGAAGTTATACAATGCACCTTAAGTAAATGTAATGCGTCATACAAACTAGTATTTCCAGAAAATCCTAATATTTCACTAATTCACTGACATAAACTCACTCCCATCTGAAATCCTTCAAAAATAGCCTCTAAAAGTTGCTGTGAAGTGTGAACAAAAGTGAAGTTGAGAATCAGCGGCGCGCCTCAGACTGGAGCTGCCCTGTTTAATTACACTGTCAGAAGACATTGTTTGCCCGCGGCGCGAAGACAATTAGTTTTCCAGAAAAGAACAAATGACTGGTAATAGGATTAAGTGTATATTTATGGAGAGGGAGTGTGTTTGTGGAGGAGGTCTCACCACAAACGAGTAGAGCTGAGAGGAGCGGGTCCTCAGCTCTGGCCTACAGTCCCCCACACACAGCTGCACGGCCCCGGCCCTGCTGTCTGGAGGGGTGGAAGACATCTCACACACGATCCTATAGGAAACACAAAAAAAAACAGGTACATGGAGTTTAAATAATGAAGGAACATTTGGGAAAAACAAAACAAACAAACAAACAAACAAAAAACTTTAGTGTGTATACAAAAGCTACTGCATAAAGTACTGTAGGTAAAATTGTTGCAATAGCACCCAAAAGTAGTGCTGGAGGAGTACTGAAAATATGTAAAAGTACATGGCTAAATTTGTACTGTAACAAGCACTGCTGCAAAATCTTATCTAAGTAAAGTAAAATACATTTTAGAGGAATTTTAGTGGTTTGAAATTGTAACTGTCATAGATGCAACCGTTACCATAGCAACAATTACCATATGGCATTACCATACTAACGTCGATGTTACCATACCGAAGTTACCATAGCAAATGTTACAATAGCGGCATTACCATCACAGCGTTACCATAGTGATATAGTGATGCTACCATAGTGATGCTACCATAGTGACTATCATAGCAGCCATCACCATAGTAACTGTTATCAAAGCAACCGTTACCATAGCATTTGTTACCATAGGTGTGTCACCATAGTGATATAGTGATGCTACAATAGTGATGTTACCATAGCAACCATTACTATAGTACCTGTTACTGTAGTAAACATTACCATAGCAACCACTACCATAGTGACCGTTACCACAGCGACCACTACCATGGCGATCATTTCCACAGCGACCATTATCATAGTGGCATTACAAGAGTGATATAGTGGCATTACCATACCAACTGTTACCATAGCAACTGCTACCATAGTGACGCTACCATAGTAACCCAAAAGTATCTCTATCTCTAACCCCAACCCTAACATTTTTGGCACCTACTAGAGGAGTCTGAAACCTCTTTAAAACATTACATCATTTATTGCCAGGTCTACACTGAAAACTACAAGTCGCATATTATATTCATTTTGTTCACAAGTTTTTAGTAAAGTTCGGTTCAACAAATCTAAACACATCAAGCGTCGTATAGATTTGTCTGCAACTCTAAATGTATTCTTCTTCTTCTGTCTCTCCCATGTCAATAGAAACAGACATCTAATGATGGTATTTCAATGGGACCCTCCTCCTACAAGCTCCTGGCATGAGTGCTGCTGGTACTACAACTTTAATGGAAATCCCAGTATTGGAATCGATTGAGTTTTATCATAGCATGCCGCGAGAGTGTCGGCGCGCCCTGCTGGTGACTAGATCAAATGACATAATAAAAGGAGGGAGGATATTGATCGGAGGAGAGGGACAGAATGAGAAGAAGGAGCGAAGAGGACAGAGATGGAGGTGTGGAGAGGTGGATGGCGTCAAGGCTGTATTTTGTGTTCCATGGTCTAAACGGCATCGGGTTACTCTAAAGTACAAGCTGGTCTTGCAAAGGAAGCGTGTCATTTTTGAGAACAATTCTTAGTTAATTTATTTATTGAATATTTTTGCACATTTTATCATGCTCTTCCTTTTACTTGAAGAGTGAAAATTTATGAGTAACAACATCTGATTTTAAAATAAGTGGGTGTATTCATGAGTTTCAGATTCCTAGTCTGTAGGTGACATTTTGAGGACTTTTGACCATTTTAAAGATAGAAGACTACTTTGTTTTGAATTGTTATACTATGGCTACGGAAACGGTGTTCATATTTCGTCACCTTGAAATCCCTGGATCGTGTTTTGATGTTGTCATTCGTAAACAAACATATATTTACACATTCTCCGCTCTGATCAGACTCGGCCCTGCTAATCACCAGCGCGGCTACAGAGATGGCATAATGTAAACAGGAGAGCATCAAAGTGAACCAGGAAATGCAATTAACCATGGAAGTGAAGCTATTCTGATCACTCTAAACACTCACAGCTCGAGGTTGGGTTCACATGACATGACAATATTAGAGTGCCCCGAGTTTAATACTGAGCTAGAGGACAGGTATGAATTATGGTTAATATCTCTGTAATTACTGGGCCTATCCACTTGAAACAAAAACTGACACGAAGTACATCATCGTCTCCGTCAATTGGCTTCAGAAAACGATGCCATTATTCAAGGGGTGGTTGCTGTCAGTTAACACGACTTAAGTAACGAGAACCATAAGATACATTTCAAGTCTGTGGAGTCAGTCTCAGTCAAATAATGTTGAGGTTAAACATTTGTGGATCATAATTGTGGATATTTCTTATAAAAACTGTGAATCTTCCATAGAATTATATGAACCCATGCTCTCCATCTGATTATGAAATTATAGAACATGAATGCCAGACTCTCCGAAGGGGGCAAGAGACAGATGTTCCTATTGATTATATTGTATTTTGCCATGAAAGGTAAAAATACAAAGATACTCATTTGTTTTGAATTGTTTTGAACCCCGGAGGAGCTGGAGGACGTGTCTGGGGTGAAGGAAGTCTGGGAGTCCCTGCTTAGACTGCTGACCCCACGAACCGGCCCCGGATAAGCGGAGGAAAATGGATGGATGGAGGTAAATTCACAAATGTTCATGCTGATCATTTCTTTCTTTTTTTTTTTTTTTTTTACTTTTATTGCCACAAATCAATTCACATCAGCAGTGTCCTGAGACTGGGCCTTCACACAATTTATATATTTACTTTATAATCCCCTCTTCCCCCTTCTAGAAGAGAACAAGAGGAAAAACAATAGCAAAAATGAATAAAAATAAAAATAAAAAATAAAGCATGTTAGGGCATACATGTCTTATTTGAAAAAGTCAATAACTGGGCTCCACTTTTTTCCAAAAGTTGGCACCTTGAGCTGTAGTTGAGCCGTTAACAGTTCCATTGTATAAACTTGTCTGATTTTTGACAGCCACTGATCAATAGTCAGTGTTTTAGGTTTCAGCCAGCTGATCATTTCTACTTGTGACTGCTCACTGTATTACAACGAAAATCTCCATTTTAACTTTTGATACTTTGCAGCTGATCATCAACATTCAAGCACTACTCTGTTAGAATCTCTGTTACTCAAGTTCACACGTGGGCATTGTTCAGTTCCTGGGCCACATACAGGTTGACTCTGACCATCCTGTTTAACCTTCGGAATTACAAAATAAACATATTTTATCATTTTACCTCATGCATGTACCAAAACTGCATTGCTTTAGTTTTAGAGTTGTTTTTTAAATGACATTTTTTATAAGTCAACCTCACTTTTTCATTGCTTAGTCATAACATAAACTCTTACCAGTCTTATCAGCTTGTTAAAATAATGTTATGTATTGCTTTTTATAAAGAAATACAGTTAATATTATGCAGAATTGAGTTAAACATTCTGGCCCGGATCTTCACAATATTTTCTGATGTAGTTTCTCATGTGGCCCCATGGAAAAAATAATTGTCTACCCCTGCTCAAGTTAGTTTATCTGAGCTTTATTTTAACTCAATCTGACCTGAAAAGCGCAGACCTAACTGAAACTACAACCGGTGAGCTGATTTGTGGTGTTAAACTAATTTCTCGCACATAAAATTACAAGTTAATTTCTTTGGTTTAGCTGCTCTAACCCTTTTTTGTTGAAAATCAAACTCCTAAAAAGGACCATCAGAGCTCATATTCATCAAAGGCTCCTGAATATGTGTTGTTTAAATCCAATTTGTATTTACTTTTGTCATGTTTGTCAGCGTTTCCTCATGTGTGCATTATGTCACCATGGTAACTTCTGCAAATTCGCCCTATAGAGATACAAGTAGAACACCCTCAGGAAAGTATCGGTATTAATTTTGGCTGCCCTCTCTCTGTAGCTATGAAATTATTGTCCTTTAGAAAGTAGTGTTGTCATCTGAAATGCAGCAACTTCTCTTTCACTTCTGTCGCAAATACATTCGCATCCAGTTTTTGAAATGAAATTGTCAAATAAAAGAGAAAGCGCAAGATACATCGAGGCAGAATTATGATTACCATACACGGAAATGGACAAAAAGATGTAAAAATCTTTTGAATCAAGTAATATTTTGGACAACTGTGAGAGAATCATTTTGAATAGAGCAGTTTGAAAAGATGCCATCAAAGTTACTTGGCCATTTCTCCCACAAAGAAAAGCTATTACTACAAATGACTCTTTGTAGAATGGTGAAGGAGATTTACTCACCAATATTTTTTTCTTTTTCATATCTCTAGTTTGAGCCACGCGCCCACAGGCCTGCATTATACTCACTGAAATTTATGGAAAGCTGATTGGAACTTCTTATTTTCAAACCTGAGGCTAACTTTGCAAACTTAATACAAAACTAATGATCGCCGTGGTGGAAAGTACTGCGAGATAGTAGTACCAGCCTGAGGAAAAATGTACTTCCTGACTGTGTAGGAGAGAAGGGGAAAAATACAAAAACTTTTTCTTCAAAGCAGTAGTGGCCTTCACACACTCCTCTGAAGTGCAACATAAAAGGAGTATAAATATGTATACTTTTCACTGTGTTTTGGCCAATACGAGTCATCATGAAGCTACCGACTGAATTATAAGAGAAAAACAAACCAGGTATGAGGGTATAAACAACATGACCCCAAAAGACTAAAAAGTAGAGCTGGGCAGTTACTTATAGCTATAGTTATGTTTACTTGAGTAACTTTTTAAATGAAGTTATACTTTGCGGAATAGTTTTCAGAATCAACACTTCTAATCATATAATGTTTCCTCATCAGAAACATGCCTGGAGTTGTGTTTTGTTTCATTCACACATGTTTAACTAAACACAAACCCTGCATATTTAAGCTGCGTTCTTCTCTCAAAATACTTGCACCAGCTTGTGATGTCATGTGATAATACAGGAAGTGCTCCACTGTGTTTTGAAATCCCATGCACCTTCACTAGAATCATCTGGATGAGTTTAGCCCAGGAATTGCCAATCTGTACTGAACTAAAGGTAAAATGTAACTGTTAACTTAACTTGAAAACTACCGCTTCATGACATCACAAGGTGAAACAAAGCATTTTGAGGTTTGGAGATGGAGACAGACTCATAATAAAGGATTACTGGTAACACTTTATAATAACTACAC